ACAGTAAGCTGCTCGCAGTTTTCACTGCTCTCAGCCCTCTGGGAGACTAAGGCAAGAGGGTCACAAATTGGAGCCCACCGTCACAAGAAGACTGTGACATGCCGTGCAGAAAACATGTCTTTTGCTGCTTTCACATTTTGCTGTATTTCCCACTTTCTCTTTTTTTGGTCCAGTGCTAGGGACAGAACACAGGACCTTGCACATGCTAGGCAAGAATCTACCCTGGCCTTGACATTCATTCACTCATTCATTCATTCATTTTGCAGTACTGGGGATTGAACTCAGGACCCTGTACTTGCCAGGCAGGTGCTTATTCTACTGAGCTATCTCCCTGGCCCTACAGTATTCTTAAGCACTGCAACCTGCAGGCCTTTTTCCCACATCCCCACCTTCCTCTTTCTCCCAGTGCACCTCATAGGGTATAACACCATCATTGTTTACAATGTGATGCAAGTTTATTATCCAGACCATGATCAGAATTACATCATGGGATATATATATAGTGTGTGTGTGTGTGTGTGTGTGTGTGTGTGTGTGTGTTTGCATTTTGGGAGACTGAACTCAGGGCTTTTGTACCATACTGTATCCTCAGCCTACTTTTTATTTTGAGACAACTAAATGTAAGTTGTCTAGACTGGGCTCAGACTTATGACCCTCCTGCCTCAGTCTCCAGAATGCTAGGATTATAGGCATACACCACCATACCCAGCTTCTTTTTGCTCTTGATTTTCTGTTCTCCTCCTCAGTGCTTTTTAAGTTGTAGGTAATAATCCTTTGCTGGCTTATGTCCAGCATTTTTTTTTTAAATGAGTAGAATAAAGTAGAAGACATCAGAAAAAAAAAAAAAGAAAGAAAATTGTAGAACACTGAAGAATGAAATCGCATAAAATACTAATGGATGGAGAAATCCCTCATACTGATGGATCAATAGAGCTAATATTATTAAAATAGTCATATTCCAAAAGGCAATTTATAGATTCAATCCAATTCCCATAAACATTCTAAAGATATACTTAACAAAACTAGAAAAAAATCATGAAGTACTTTTGGAAATAGAAAAGAAACTCAGAAAAGCCAAAGCAATACTAAGCAAATAGAGCAAGGTGGGAAGCATCAACACCTGATTTTTAATTATACTACAAAACCATAAAAACAAAACCAGCATGGTACTCACACAAAGCAGACCAAAGGAAAGGAACTGAAAACAGAGAAGCAAACTCATGCAACTACAGCATCCTGATTCTGGACAACCAGACTGAAAATGTACATTAGAGAAATAAATAGTGCAGGGAAAACTAAAATCCATACATACAGAATTGAAACTAGATTTCTCTCTCACCTTGTACAAAAATCAACATAAAACTGATCAACTAAGTATAAGATCCAAAACTCTGAAGCAGATGAAATAAAATATGAGAGAAACACCTGAAGCTATAAGAGTAGGCAAAGACTTTCTGACAAGAATTCTAACAGCATAGAAAATAATAGACAAAATCAATAAATGATGTTGCCTCAGATTAGAGTTTCAAAGCAGCAAGACAAACAACCCACGATGTGAAGAGAAAGCATAGGGAGGGAGAGAAATTCTTCATCAGCTACTCTTCTGACACAAGATTTTTTTCATTTAAAAATAACAATATAGGTGTTTCCATTTTGAATATTCTACATCATTTAATTTTTTCTTCTCATTAACTTTATTGAAAATCAATAATTATATAGCATATTAAAAATTCTAAACAAATATTGAAATGTGAAAGATATAAGATGTTGACAGAGTGAATTTTACAGAAATACTTCTTTTTTTAATTTAGGACAGAGTATATAGGATGTACAAGGTCTCACTGCATATATCAAATTTGTAGTGATCCTCCTGTTTACAGCCTCCCAAGTGCTGGGATTATAGGCATGTGCCACCATGCCCAGTCTCAATCTCGGTCTCAGCACACCCCATGGGATAGGCCTACACAGCAGGCCCGGGGATCCATTGAACTATTAGGCCAGCCTTACAGAAATATTTCTGAAATGAATACATAGCATGAGATTAATAATAGATTGCACATTGTGAATAAATTATTTACAAACTTAAATGAATATACCAATAAAAATTGTCTAAAATAAAAATGAAGAATTTACAGATCAGTCATATAGCAGTTCACTCTGTACCAAAAGCACAAAACTTATATTCATATAATTAGAATTCTCAAAGTAGAGAGGGGTAGGCAATAAATATTTAAATATTTAAAATTTCTGAATTTAGTAGAAATTATAGCAATTATAGCTTATGATTGAGGTTTTACTTTCCTGTATAGCACTCTGAATCGGCTTTATGCATTCTATTTCTTTCCTATGTTGCTCACATTTCCAACAAAAATGAACCTTTTTCACAAGAAATATGCATAAAATCATACCAAGATGCACAAAAATGAAATTGTCCCAAACTAATTATAAAGAAAAATCATTAAAGCATATACATAGGAAAAAATATTACCTATGGAAGAACAAAATTAAATGGCATCTTATTTATTTCACATTCAAAAAAAAGAAAAAAGAGCAAGTGGGTAAGAAACTAGACTAATCAATTCAAAGGACTAGAAAGAAAAAGCTCTGTCCTCATTGAATTTTTTTTTTTTTTTTTTAGAACCAGGGATTGAACTCAGATTCTTGCACTTGCCAGGGATGAGCTTATTCTACTGAGCCATCTCCCTGGCCCCTCCTCATTGAATTTTATACCTAGCAAGCATACCTTTGAAAACTAAAAGTAAAATATTTTCTGAAAATATCAAATCATGTCTTATAAGTAGATTGTGAATCAAAGATATAGTATAAATCATAAAACAAAAATTTAAATTGAACAATATTCAGAAATTAGTTAAATATTAATTAATTAAAATTAAATTAAATGTTTCAAAACAGTATTCCAAAATTAAAATTAAATCATGAGTCCAACTAAGAGGTCAGAAAGTAGTGTATCATATGTACAAATGTGTTATCAATTGAGAGTACTCACACAATATTTGAATAGGTTAATGTAATCAAAAATATCAACTAAATAAAAGTTCTCATGATAGTAAAGAATTTACTAAGAATAAAACAAAACATAAACACTGGAATGGCAAATATATGACCAGCACTTCTAACAATTTAGAGATGGGATATCACAAAAAATTCTAGTATGTCATGGACCTGGACGGTGTCCATGACACTCACTGGTGGCCAAGTGTCACTTGTGGGACTGAGCTACTGCTATTTCCTTGATATCCACCATGTAGACCCAAACAGAATCATAACTTCATAGGGTGCAGGAGAAGTCCATTTGTAGAGTATGCTAATGGAAATATTTTGCTGCTGTATACAAAAGAATAATTGAAAGACTGCTTTTTATACTTCTTTTTCACATGTGTTTGTTTGCCCCATTTGGTGGGTTCTTTCCATTCTCATTCATAGAGTTGTGGTCATTTTGATCCCTCTTTAGAAACTCTTTTAGTAGTCTGTGTAGGGTTGGCTTTGTCATCATGAAATTCTTTTGTTCTTTGTCATGGAAGTA